TCAGGCTACAGACCCAGTTGTAGACAGGATAGGTCGGAATCTTCCAACAGAGGTCAGCAGGGAGGCCAAAACAGAAGAAACCCCAGAGATACCAGAGGCTGATTTTTTCGTCACCAAGTGAGTCCTTGACAGCAGCTCCCATTGGAGGGCGGCTAAAATTGTTTGCTGATCAATGGGACAGCTCCACCTCTGATGCGTGGGTCAGGGACTCTGTTAGGTTTGGTTTGGTGCTAGAGTTTCAATCCTCCCCTCCAAACTTTATCATTAGGAGCCCTAGGTCCACGGACCCCATTAAGAGAGCGTTGATGCAAGAGGCTATCAATCATCTTCTGCATATTCAGGCCATTAGAGAGGTCCCATCTGAACAACGGGGTCAAGGCTGTTACTCTCTATTGTTTGTGGTCCCAAAGAGTTCGGGGCGCTGGAGGGCAATTCTGGACCTCAAACGTCTGAACAGATCATTGGTTTATCGAAAATTCAAAATGACTACTCTCCAGTCCATTCTGCTCAGCATCAGAGAGAATGATGTCCTGACCTCTATAGATCTGACAGAGGCTTATCTACATATACCAATTAGACCTGCTAACTACAAATACCTTAGATTTTGCTATTGTGATTGGCACTACGAATATATCGCCCTACCATTCGGTCTGGCTTCGGCCCCTAGGACTTTTACCAAGGTCCCAGCAGCTTTGGCTGCCTCCCTCAGGATCAAATCTATTCGTTTGCAATGTTATCTGGATGATATTTTAATTTTGTCATCTTCCAGACATCAAGCAAATTTAGATACCAAGATTACTCTGGAGACCCTTCAAGGTCATGGCTTTTCCATAAATTGAGGTAAAAGCCATTTGATCCCTTCAACTAGGTTAGTTCATTTAGGGGCAGTGATAGATACCATGGAGGGCAAGGCTTTTCTCTCTCAGGACAGGTTGAATAGTATCCAGTCCTTGGCCAGAGAGATCAGAGCCTTAAAGAGGGTTTCCCTGGCAGTTCTGTCTCAACTGTTAGGGAAACTGATTTCTTGTATTTCCATTGTGCCTTGGGCTCGATTCCATTCTAGAGATTTGCAATGGTTCCTGCTACCTTTCCAGCGATCTGGAAGAGCCACTTCCAATGTCCGGATAAAGGTACCGCACCATGTTCTCCGATCGCTCTGCTGGTGGTCGGAAAACACGATAAACAAGGGATGTCCTTTCAAGGAACCTTGCAGGGCAACGATCACAACCGACGCCAGGCTGGTAGGATGGGGAGCTCACTTCCAATCCCACACTGCACAGGGAAGTTGGACTATTTCTGAACAATCACAAAGCATCAACCTGTTGGAGCTGCAAGCAGTTCATCTGACGTTATGCAGTTTTCTACCCCTTTTCCAATCACGCCACATTCTGGTCTTGAGAGACAATATCACAACCAAGGCCCATGTAAACAGACAGGGGGGTATCCACTCCAAACTTCTGATGCTGGAGACGGCCAATTTGTTCAAGTGGGCCGAGGCCAATCTGCTTTCGCTCAAGGCAAAGCACATAGCAGGGGCCTTAAACACACAAGCGGACTGGCTCAGCAGGGCCACGATAGATCAGAGTGGCGCCTACACCCATCTATCTTCCAGGAAGCAGTGCGGAGGTTTGGGCAACCGGTGATTGATCTATTTGCCTCTCCCCTCAACGCCCAATTGATCTGGTATATTTCAAAGTACCTGACTTGGGGCGGAAGCCGTCAATGCCCTGCGATGTCAGTGGCCTCCCGAACTTCTATATGGGTTTCCTCCACTCCCTGTAATACCCAGGTTGATCCAGAAGTTATTGGAGGAACAAGCGGAATTGATATTGGTCGCCCCTTACTGGCCCAGGCGAACATGGTTCGCGGACTTACAGGAACTGTCGAGAGAACTACCTTGGAAAATTCCACCGTTGAGGGTTTCCCTCTTGCAAGGGCCGGTACTTCACCCGGACCCACAATGGCTCAGCCTAGCCGCATGGAGGTTGAGCGGAACCGTTTAAGGACCCAACAGATTTCAGAGGATGCCATTGCCACCATACAAGCATCCAGACGGTCCTCAACAAATCTTATATACGAGGCCATGTGGTCCACTTTCTGTCGCTGGTGCCGGGTGTCTAAGATCGACCCAACTGCCCCATCAATAGGACAATTATTGGACTTTTTACAGGAGGGGTTGACCAAGGGCCTATCTCCAAATACTTTACACAGACAGGTGGCGGCCTTAGCCTCGGTGAAATCCTGGGGTGACCTCCGTTCCATAGCGCACCATCCACATGTCCGCAGCTTTCTTAAGGGTGCTGCAAACTTACGACCTCCTGTAATTCACCGCTATCCCACTTGGGAGCTCAACAAGGTGTTAACTGCACTTACAACTGGCCCGTTCGAGCCATTAAGAACCGCTAGTCTCAAATTCCTGACATATAAGGTGGTCTTCTTAATTGCGATCACATCAGCAAGGAGGATTTCCGAGTTGGCAGCATTGCCGATGAGAAAGGACCTGTGCGTGTTTCATGCGGACAAAGTGGTTCTCAGATTGGATCCATCGTTCACCCCTAAAGTAAATTCAGTCTTTCACAGAGCGCAGGAGTTGGTGCTTCCAAATTTTTGTCCGAAACCATCTTATAGACTGGAGCATCATTGGCATTGACTTGACCTTCGAAGGGCATTAAGCATCTATCTAGACCGCACAGCGGCATTTCTAAAATCTGAGGCTCTATTCCTATCCTTCAACCCATCCACTTTAGGACACAAAGTGTCATCGATGACCATTGGTAGATGGTTGAGAGCCACTATAGCTAAAAGTTACGAATGCCAGTCCATCTCTGTTCCTAAGGGCATTACAACCCACTCAACAAGGAGTGCGGCAACAGCAGCATGGGCCACACGGGCTTCCATAGACGAAATTTGCAGAACGGCAACCTGGGCTTCACCATCGCCCTTTGTCAGAAATTATAAAATTGATGTCTATGCCTCAGCGGATGCTTCATTTGGCAGAAGAGTCCTGCAGAGGGTCCACAGAGTTTAGGAGTGGATTTCGATCCTGACGGAGTCCCTCCCTAAGGACAGGCCAAGCTTTGGTATGTCCCACTTCTGGATGCTCTGAACAAGCTCATGGAAGAAAGGGCGTTCGTACTTACCTGATACGCCCGTTCTCTGTGAGCTGTAAAGAGCATCCAGCCCCACCCATTTCTTTCCATCTGGTGGGGTTCAGTTACGGTCAGGGATCTAGATTAGGTAATGAGTTCCGGACTTTGGCACTCAGTCTTCACAAAACTGGGGGACGCTGGGGAAGTGTCCCATGGAGGAGGAGGAGCATCCCGGAGTTTTAAGCCCAGCCTTTCCAGAAGAGACTGAAGCACCTACCCACTTCTGGATGCTCACAGAGAACGGGTGTATCAGGTAAGTACCAACGCCCTATTTCTTATTTTAATGTATGAAATAAATATTTTAAAGTTTTCTTTTAAGAATGCCATTTTTTTCCATTCCAGAATTAAACTATTGGTTCTTATTGCCAAACTGTCAAGTTAATATGTCCTCACAAGCATCAATTAAACACTCCCTTGGGGAGGGACAGAGAAATTTGAGATATGCCATCAAATGTTAAGTAATAAAGTAACAAATGAGAACAAAACCATTGAGATGTCCTGAGAATTCAATTGAACTATAAATTAAAACAATGCATCAATAATTTAAAAGACCCCAAAGTGTACTTATCACCCATAATGGCCTATTTTGTGTCTTTTTCACCAATATAACATTTCAGTCATGATGAAAAGATTTTAAGAGTTATTTGTCCTTACTATATCTTGAAAATGGAATAATGCTATCAGAATCAATTGGATAATTATTTTACACAAAAAGTATCCTTCCTATGGCTTAAATATATTAAATGCAATAAATAATTCAATTTATGGTTTTTATTTTGATTTAGCAATGAATTGGAATTGAAATTAATAATATATGATATTTACTTTTTTTTTATTTTAAACGTCAAAGTTAAACTTCACTCACTTCTCAGAAGAAAAGTAGATAAGCTTCAGGATATTTGTATGCTTAAATTAAATGAAGCAGTACTGATATAGAAAAGTCTGCATTTCTCATAATATCTTGCATCCTAGGATATTTTTTAGGTTATGTATCCTGTTCTTTACAAACGAAGAAAAGCAATAATGCCTTTCTAGGTATTAGCTAGAATACGTAACATTAACAGTAGCATTGAATTCTCCAAATTCTAATAGTATATGGTATGGGTGGGACAGGGAGTAGGCAATCTTTGCAATTTATTCATCATTTTAGAAAGAATTGTGGGTGGCAAATCCAATCATTCTGATCCTGAATGAATACAGAATTGAGCTGACTTCATTGAATACATCAAGAAGAATACACCAGTATAATAATGTCAAAGTATACTATATTCACATAAATGCTTAGCATCAGATGATGGAACTGGACACATTAACAACCTTTTTATTTCTTTCTGTTAATTTGGACTTGCATGAAGAGTAAAGGGATCCGAGAAAAAGGAATAAAACACTTTTTTAACCACTCTTCCATTGTATCTAGCCTGTGCATTAATTTGATTAGCACTGCAACTGTCAAATACACAGTATCTCTACTGGAAGAATGACCTTTTAATTTCCATACACATGGCTCTTATTAGCACTAATTGAATGGAAGCATTGTAACCTAGTGAGAATAGATCTGAGGGCTACAGATGCATGTTTTGTTTAAAGTGGACATACTCTTACAAATCCACTTACTTAAAGCTTGTGATTAAAAATATAGATTTCTTTCTAATAAAGACTACTTTCTGCAGGTTTCACCATGCTTGAACCATGCTGATACTTTATCAGTCTAGATTAGTATAGGAATGTTAATATTTGCTGGTAACAATATCTGCACAGAAATAGATATTTTGCTTTCTTTCTTCCCATGTACCATCTTATTTAACTAGAGGTTGGTATCTATGATGATGTATTGTTCTTCTTTATAAACAGCTGAAAACAGAAAAATCCTGAATGAACAAGAAGTTGAAAAATGTCTTATCACTCTTTTGGGAACGGATAACGAAGGAACCAAAATAGCTGCTTCTCAAGCCATCTCTGCTATGTGTGAGAATTTAGCTAGTAAACAAACCACTGGAGCTCTTGGTAAATAGTTATGGTGACAATGGAATTATGATCCAGAAGAAAATATTTACCAATTTACAATGTTTCCATAGTTAATTTAAAACTGTCTATATACATTTATCCTCTCTTAGGAATTCCCCAGCTTGTTCAGTTGCTAAGCAGCGAAAATGAAGAGGTAAAGGAAGCTGCTGCTACAGCTCTGGTTAATCTAACAACTGCCCATCCTGCCAATGCAAGGTAAGCTCAGGATGAATAGAGGATTATTAGACATTTTAATCAGGAAATACATTTTTCCATTTTTATAGTTTATGGAATTGGTAGGAAATTTGGCATGGTGCTTTGTTAGTTTTATTTCACATCACATGTCATCTATACACTGTTTAACTAAACATGACTGCATGCTTCTTTTTATTATTAGTATATTAATAAAATATAACTATAATGAATTGGTATTATGATTTTAGCTAGTTGATGCTTAGTCTGGGTGTGTTTTTTTTTTCATTAAAATTTGCAGTCTTGCATATTTAGAAAGTTTGAAAAGCTAAGTACAAAAATAAAAAGGGATTCCCTAGAAATGTTTGCATTTTGCTAAAGATGGGTTACTTTGGAATCTCCCTTTTCTATGTATAAATATTGTTTTCATGATAACCAAATTTTTAATGTCAACAATTTAATCAAATAGTGTTTAGACTCATCAAAGAGCATTAAGGAGCATGTGGTTAAGAATATTTGCAAAATAGAAGTGAATGGGTGGATCCACCTCGCTGAAAACAAAGTATCTATAATATTTGCCCAAGAAAAAAAGGATATTATTAGTATCTTCTGCCATCAAGGAAATTTGACTATAGTGCAGATATTTAAATAGACTTAATTTTATTAGATACCTATCAATGTTGTATGTGCTGGATATACTTCTGTAAATTTATCTTTGTAAAATGCACTTAAGAAATTAAGTTCAATCCCAGTTTACTTGTTTTTTCAAAAGATTGAAGCTTCTCTAATTATACTGTGTGACCTATTTCACATTCTATATGAAATGAAAGTAGGGGAAATTTTAAGATTCTTTTGGTTGATTAAATGTAACCAGAATTTTTGACTGACAATTGGACAATGTTATAAGAAAACAAATAACTATAGATTGGACAATCAGAATTTATGTCTGGTATTTCTTTTAGACACATTGCTTTATCTTGCTGTAATTGGCATATATTTGTGGGCTCAAGCGGGAAACATCATGAAAACAAGTCAGCATGCAGATCCACATACGCAGATATGCAGACATTTTTCTCTTCCATTTACAGTATTTCCTTCCATATTAAATTTGGAAAAGGAAACCACATTTAACTTAAATAAACACATTAAAATGAGCGAGTAATCAAACTTTTAAAGGATATAAGGTAGTCAAATTTGCAAAAGGTTTCTTAGACTTTTGCAAACAATAAGTAAAACGTAAATGGCTACTGGCTCATACAGCCTTAATGTATTCAGTCCTTTTTATTTAACAAATTATTCATTCAATTCTAATAGCCACTGACATTAATTTAACATCATAGTTGAAATATTATTCATTTTGTGTAGACATTGTCTGCTCATCCGTTCGCTGGAAAAATGAAATAGATATTCTCTGATAATTCTTTCTTATAATTCAGTTGTGGCCAGCTTTTTAACCAGCCTTATGCCTCTAGGGCCCAGCCTTTCTAGAATTGTTCTTCTCTTCCTTACAGTTATAAATTATTGTAAACTTGATTGATACAACCTTTTGAGGATTCATCTATGAAAGCTATTCTCTAGACAATGAATCCACGTAGCTTCTTTTTCTTTTGTAATCCCATTTGAGAAAGGAATACATTTGGTGCTTAACTCCAGTGATTGCTAATTACTAAAATATTTTATATAGTAGTTTTATTAAAGATTAGAATTACAACAATAAAAACTAATAGGATACGTTGGATTAAGAGAGAGAATTTTGTGATCAATTAGTGGGGGAAGAAGAAAGTAGCAGTAGGGAAGAACTGGAATCCAAGAGTCAGGAAGATCAGCCATAAGAGATAAGAGAGGTGGAGAAGGAAGGAGGTGGTACGGAAAGACAAGAACAAAAAGGAACAGAAGGAAGAGAATTAAGGACAAGACCACAAGGGGATTATAGAATAAATAGAAAACAGAGACCAAATCACCGATAAGATAATGGATAAAGAAATTTGGCTAATATCTATAAATATAAACAGGCTAAACTCTCCAGCTAAAAGAAATCAAATATTTAAAAGGCTACTCAAAGAAAAATTAGATATTTTTTGCCTTCAGGAGGTCCAAATAAAGGATCAATTTAAGGACTAGAATACCGCAGGTTAGGGAAGTTATATACTGCCTTAACAAAAAAATAAACAAAGAGGGATAGCAGTTTATATAAAGGCAAACCTAGAAACAAAGTTAAAATCCGCAGATGAAAATGGAAGGATCTTGATAATTGAATTACAGATTAGACAAAAATTAATGATACTGGTAATAATCTATGCCCCAAACAAAAACCAAAAATAATTTTACAAGACATTACATGAAAAAAAATGCAGAAATAGAATATGATAATATATGTGTTATAGATGACCATAATGCAGTGGTAGACCCAAGGAAAGATTATATAGGGAATCTGGCTACAAAGAAAAGGAAAATATTACCAACCACATTCTTTGAAATGATGCAAAAATTAAATTTGTGGACCAATGAAGGAAGATAAATTCTAAAAAACAGGAATATACTTTTTACTCAAATCCTCATAAAACGTGGTCCCGCCTGGATATGGCCTGGATGAATGGAGAAATAGGTAGCGAGATGGATAAGATAGAAATTATGATGAACACATGGGCTGACCATAATCCATTAATAATAATTTGGAAGGGATATGAAAAAAGTGAGAAGGTGGATGTTAAATTCCCAAATTTTAAATGAAAAAGAATATATTTCGAGGACCAAAAAGAAAATTTTTTTGAGGATAATTTAAATCAATATACCTCACTCAGTATGGGACATGGCAAAAGCATATTTTACGGGCATTACTATAGCATACACAGAAAAAAAAAAAGGAGACAAAGGCAGGAAAAATTAACAGAGATTAGAGAATTAGAACACAAGCTACAAAAAGAACCTCAAAATGAAGGAGTGAAAAAATATGGTTTTAGCTAAACATAAATTAAATACGGTAATCAAGAGGAGAGGGTGAGCAGCAAAACAAAATTACTTTGAACGTGCTGATAAGTCGGGGAGCTGGCTAGCCCATAAATTAAAAAAAGAAAAAGAAAAAAAGTTGATTCAGGAACTGGAAGATGAGAATAGAGAGATACAATATAAAATGACAGAGAAAAAGAAATTAATTCAAAATTATTTCAAAAGACTACATGAGGAAGAAAACATAGGCGTAAATAACATAGAACAATATCTACAAAGACACGGTTGGCAGAATTAATAGAAGATCAAAGGGAAACATTAAATAGAGAGAGAACACTCACGGAATTAGAAAGAGCGGTTTAAAAAAAAGAGTAATAAAACTCAGGGGCCAAATGGAATTCTGGCAGAGGTGTACAAATGTATGTATGAATGCTTTGGAGATGTATTGTTGGGAGTGTATAATGACGTATTGGAGTTATCAAAAATACCAGATTCATGGATTGAAGCTTACATTTCTCTCATTCCAAAAAAGAGCAGAGACCATAAGTATATTAAAAACTACACGCCAATCTTGCTGTTAAATGCTGACTACAAAATCTTTACCGTGATAATGGCAGAAAGATTGAAGATAGTCCTAAATGAAATAATATACCCAGACCAGAATGGTTTTTTTCCAACAAGACAAATTAGAAATAATATAAAAATAGTTTTGGACACCTTAGAATATTATAAAGCACACCACGGGAAATAGGCAGCGCTAATCTTTCTGGACGTACAGAAGGCATTTGATAACCTTAATTGGCAGTTCTTGATCCAACAAATTAAAAATATGAGATTTGGAATTAAATTTGAAAACATGATTAGCACAATATATTCCAGGCAAAAACCTAGAGTGATAGTGAATGGAGATTGCACTGAAACATTTGGAATAAAAAAAGGAGTATGACAAAGATGTCCTATATCACCTCTACTTTTTATATTGACAATAGAAGTGCTTCTAACCAAAATAAGGCAAAACGAGGAAATAACAGGATTAAATATTAAAAATCAAGAATACAAAACCCAAGCATTTGCGGGCGATTTAGTGTTTTTATTGTGGAACCGACGGAAACAGGGACAAATTTGTTAAGGGAAATTGAACAATATGGATTAGAGGCAGGACTAAAAATTAATAAAGAAAAAACAAAAATGCTAGTAAAGAATCTAATAGAAAAGGGATTAGAAAGAGAATTGTGATTACAAGTGGATAAAAAGATTAAATATTTAGGGATTTGGGTTACAGGACGATGTTTGACTATAGAGGAAGCTAATTACAAGAAATTGATGTTACAATGTAAAAAATTTTTAGAGAGTTGGAAAAAGTTGCAAATATCGTTGACGGGTAGAATTGTCAAAGTAAAAATGAACATACTACCAAAATTCCTATACTTATTTCAGACAATTTCCATAAAACTAGATCAATTTTTTTTGAAGATTTGAACAGAATGGTGCTTAAATTTATTTGGTTAGGAAAGAAAGCACGTATTAAAGTAAAAATGCTACAAGATAATAGAAGTAGAGGTAGCCTAGGACTTCCAAAATGGGAATAATATTATCAGGCGGCGGCATTGCTCTGGATTAAAGATTGGATAAATTTACATAATAAGATGATATTAGTAATAGAAGGGCATGATCTCCATATCGGATGCCATGCCTTTCTGTGGGACAAACGGGAAAGGACACATATTTTTATTGCCATCAAATTAGACAGTCACTAATATGGGAAAAGTTAAGGAAGAAGCACATTAAACTACCGGATTGGGTGTCACCAACGGAAGCAGTGATTTACCCAAATACAACGGAGAACAAAAAGAGGATCAGATACAAGCAATTATTAGATAATCAGGGGAATTTAAAAACAACGGAAAAAGAACAAAGTATAATTGTAGATTGGTGGCCATATATGCAGATAAAAACTAGGCATAAAAATATATGGATGAATTTGGAATAGAAAGGGAACATCAACAATTAAACCAAATTTTAACTGATAAAGAAGAAAAATTTATTACTAGAACATATAATTATTTACTCCAAGTAGA